CTCAGCAGCACATAATTACAATAGTTCTGGAAAACCAGAAAAAGGCTAAAGAAACAAGGTTTAAGAATGCAACCCCAGCATAAAAACAAGCTTCTGCCGGCTCATTGTCTGGCTTTGGACAAGCTGTCCAGAGTCTGCTGGATTCTGTTGTTCCTGTGTAAAACAGCAACCATAATACCCATACTTCACAATGATGCACAGACAGGATTCGTACAGAGTGCCTAGCGGAGGCATGGACCCCGCAGACAGCTGTACCCTGGGTGCTCCGAGCCGGCCATCACCCTGGCCATTGTCTGCAGAACATACTGCATCCTGGTGAACAATGAGGGCCCTGTGGACACACAGAGGCCAACGCAAAGATGTGATCGGAAGCCCGACCACCCCTGACCGAGGCTGACTCGTACATCTGTGAAGTGTCCACAGTTAAAAACAAAAATCAAAGGCCAGTGCTGGAGGTGTGGCTCAAGCAGTAGAACACCTGCCCAGCAAGCGCGAAGCCCCAGCTCAAATCCCAGTACCAAAATAAACAAACACGTGGAAGAAGACTCAGCACCTAAGGTGCAAGTGCGTCTCAGGCAATTATCCATCGGGAGGAACTCCACCCCAAGCCCATAGACTCTCCCTTCCACACTAGAGGTGTGGCTCTGCTGCTAGAGGCTTATCTAGCAAGGTTGGGGCCTGAGTTCAAGCACAGAGTACCACCAAAGGAAAGAAAGGAGAAAAAGAATGGGCTTATCTCGCTGTTCTCTGCATTTTTTGGCCTTGGCTTCATGGTCCCTGGGCAGCGGGCAATGTAGTTCCTGTTTCCTGTTTCCGGTCGGAGCTCTTTCTCAAGCAGCTCCTTGCCTTCACCCTGTCTCTACCGGGAATCTAGTTTGCACAAGGGCCATGCTCAAGCCGCAGAAGCCAAGCGGCCGCCCTGGTGTCTCCTCCCAAGCCAGTCCCTGTAGAGACTGTCCCAGATTGCCAGACACAATTAGGTCCCTAAAAAAGGAAAGTGCTCACTTCTGCTTACCCACACCTTTCAACTATTTGAGGAGCCCTGAATGTTGACACTAGAATGTTCTAGTCCAGTGACCTCATTCCAGATGAGAAGGGCTGGCTTCGGCCCTGCCAGACAGCAGAGTCAGATCCTACTGAACACCGGAAAGCACCAAGTTCTTGTTCTTGGGGTTCCTGCACCACAAAGCAGGGGTAGGGATCCAGAGGGGTCACCTGCAGAAACCACACTGCTCTCTTTCTCCTTAGGATGAAAGATATTCCCCACCTAGACTCAAAAACCAAGTTCAATAATCTTTTCAATCCTGTACTTACTAACTTTGTTATTAAGAACAAAGACCACTTCTGTACAACAACAGGTAACTTTACGTCTCAAAATCTATCCAAGATGATCAGACATTTGAGCTAGAGGAATCATTCATTCATAAGGACATCTATACAGCTTGCAGCTGTAAGCTAGTCACAAAGTAACATCCAAAGTGACAATGACAAGGGAGGACCATCACTGTACTGTTTCCATGTGCCAGGCACTGAGGGTCAGCCCCACAACTGAAAAAAACACAACAGAGCAAAACAGCTCAGGGACAGCGCCCACAACCAACAACCATAAAAAGGGTAAGCATTTTTCTGGTAGAAGAAAGAGGGTTTTGTGACAGTTTTCACAGCTGAGACGCGTTAGAAGCTCTTCATCACAGGACGGGAAGATGGAGGCAGAGAAATGCGCGGATCCTCAGGTGCCCCGTGCTCCTTCCTGTCCCCGGCATCCTGCAGTTAGAGCACACCCTATTTCCTGCCACTCTGATGTGACTGGCAGCACGGGCCTGCCACCTCCGCCTGGTCCAGAGCCGGGGGGCAGAGGTCACCCGCTGCACTTGGGTGAGCCAGACGCTCCCTCCTTTCAACCCGTGGGCAGCACAAGAAACAAACTTCTGTGGTTAAGTCACTGAGATATCCCAGGTGGAAAAACTATCCTCTCCTGAATTCATAAAGTGACTCTGTGCCTGTGTAATATGTCCTCAGCAGGCTCTACTGAAAGAAGGTTCCGGGGGCTACCGTGGGGCTCCACAAGTTCAGCTCAGCATCAGGTGGCGTATTCCTCTCTGACTGGCAGGTAGCACTCCTTGGCATCACACATCGACATACTTTGAAACTTATTCTAGACTCACACTTGGCATGGAGCTTACATGGCAAGTGAAACCTAGCTGCCAAGAAACCTTTTAGGAAAATCTGGGTACCAAATTTCTATCTGGAGGAAGGTACTGGCATGACCTGCCAATTGATTTTGGAACCGAAGGTTTGTGGGCACAGAAACAAACAAAAAGTGAAAGTGCTCACGAATGAACCGATGAGTTCCCTACAATAGTCCTGCCAACTTCGGGTTCATCATCAATCCAGTTCTCTGAAGACATGGACTGACACCTAACCAAGGTGAGTGACTCTTGATTTCTTTTGACTGACCCCTGTTGTGGCTTGGGGGTACGGCTTTGTGACAGAGCACTTGCCTAGCGTGCAGAAGTCAGTCAATAAATATATAATGTTATCAAATCCTGATACTAGTAGCACTTAGGGGTAAAGCAGTTTCAGTCTAGGTTTTCGGATCACATATTCATCACAGTTGAAAGTACACAGGCCTATTTCCTTTCCAAAACACAGGGTCTGGCAAAGTCCGTGTCTGCCCCTCAGCAGAACCTGAATGCTCACAGGCATGTCACATTTAAATACACTTGCAGATTCAACTGTAAGGCTTAAAATAAGTAACTGGATTCATTTTTTAAATTCTGCTAACAAACTATAGTTAGCATTCAAACTCTTCCTTGAAGTCTGAAACCGTTGCCAATGAGTGATTTTACATCTCAAGACATCCACTGTTTTAGAGAATCTGCAGAGATCTAAAGCTACACGGATGTTGAAAATGAACTTTACAACTTCGGGGTGGGGGGTGGGAGGGAGGGAAGAGTTGGGAAGTGGAGAGGGAAGGGATGGTAGGGAAAAAACAAAAGAGGTAACTGCTTGACAGGAAATGTTCTCATTACCTTACTCACGTAATTGTAACCCCTCTGTACAGTATCTTTACCATAAAAATACATACGTAAAATTTTTATTTTTATTTTTTTGGTTCAGTTGTGGGGCCTGAACTCTGGTTCTGGGCGCTGTCCCTCAGCTCTTCAGCTCAAGGCTAGCACTCTACCACTTGAGCCACAGCGCAACTTCTGGCTTTTTTCTTTTTGCTTATGTGGTGCTGAGGAATCGAACCCAGGGCCTCAGGCATGCAAGGCAAGCGCTCTACCACTGAGCCACCTTCCCAGCCCCTGTAAAATTTTTAAAAAGACAAAAAATAAATAAAGGTACACAGAGCACATCTCAAGCCACGCTGAGCTCTGGGTCAGGAGTATGCCAGAAGCTGCAGCAGCAAAGTCAAGACCAGATTTTAATATAAATTTCAGTGGCATGACTATGAAGTTGATGGAACTACTGTGTGTGTGTGGTGTGTGTGATGTGCGTGCCAGGACTGAACTCAGGACCTAGGGACTTGAACTCAGAGCCTCCTGCTCTTGCTTGCTTGCTCACGGCTGCCTCTCAACCACTGGAGGGACAGCTCCAGTCCAGAGTTTTGTTTGTTAGCTGGAGATGAGTCTCATGAATTTTTCTGCCAGGCTGGCTTTAAACCCTGTTCCAGCCATCAAGGTACCAGAGGTGCAAGCCGTTGGTGTCCAGCTAGAGAGAATAACCGAGATCAAAACAAGGCCTTCTGCTTCCCAGGTATTCATTATAAAAAAATTCTTATGCAGAAAACAGAGACTGATGTTTAGATGAGAGGCTCAGCGGGTAATACCTGCCAACCTCCAAGATGGCTCCAGAAGCCCAGCTATGAACTGCACAAGAGCTCTTTATAAACACTGCTAAACACACTGAGTAGAGGGAGAAGAAAGAAAACAGAAATAGGGTGGAGATGGGCGGGGAAACGTGGGAGAGCAGGGGAAAGGCTAACACCACCGTCTCTGCACCTGACCTATCTGTGACCCCTCTGTACACCTCCTTTGTAAGAGTAATCTTTAAAAATTAAAAAAACAGAAATAGCCACATCTCCTAAACAAGGTGGTTCAAGAATCACCTGGGGACCTCACAGGCATAGTTCAGAATAGGCAGGTCTGGTGATGCCAGTGCCAGGCTCCAGGGCCACCGTAGACTGGTGAGTTCTCCAAGACCAAACTCCTCCTTCAAGGTGTGTGCTCTAACTGCAGGATACTGGGACAGGAAGGAACTCGTGGCACCAGGGTCCACCACCCGAGTGTATTGCAAAGATCTCCCCCACCCCTGCCCCCAACACATCATGCCACACACAACGTTCCAAGCGGACAACAGACCCAGTTGTCTTCTCCACCAGAGAAGACCTCACCACACCCAGGGCATGCAGAGCTGTGGCTGGCTCCTGACGCAGAGACGCATATTCCAGAGTAAAACCGGAGGGAATAAGACGAGACCAGGCGTTCTGTGGGGCAGTGGCTCTCCAAAATGGACAGGCCTCAGAATCACTAGGGTGGGCTTGACCCAACAGACCAGCTGCTGGCTGAGCTGACCTAGTGGGGCCCAGGAAGCTCTCAATGCTTTGGGAGCAGACCACACGTGGAACAGCACTGAGCCGCAGTCCTGAGCCGCAGCCCTGAGCCGCAGCCCTGAGCCGCAGCACTGAGTCGCAGCACTGAGTCACAGCACTGAGCCGCAGCACTGAGGCGCAGCACTGAGTCACAGCACTGAGCCGCAGCACTGAGCCGCAGCACTGAGTCATAGCACTGAGCCGCAGCCTTGAGCCTAGGGCTGACTGCCTCTCAGTGCCGCGCACACAGGTGGCTTGTGATGCATGCTTGCCAAGTGAATGACCACTAGAAATTCTATTTCCAGAACAACTTTGCTGTTTGTCATGTACTCACTCTGCAGGTATCTTGTTTTTTTTGTTTTTGTCGGTTGTGGGGCTTGAACTCTGGGCCTGGGCGCTGTCCCTGCGCTCTTCAGCTCAAGCCTCTACTGCTTGAGCCACACTGCCACTTCTGGTTTTCTAGTGGTTTATTGGAGATAACAGACTCATGGATGTTCCTGCCCGGGCTGGCTTTGAACCACGATCCTCAGATCTCAGCCTCCTGAAGCGCTAAGATGACAGGCGTGAGCCACTGGCGCCTGGCTCTGCAGGTATCTTAAATACACATTCATTCCAAAAACCAATTATCTGTCCCAGCATCACAGCTTCTGACCTTAAGAGTTTATAGTTAAAATCGATCCCAATCATAGGTGCTGATAGCACACTTTTTACTTACAGTATCTGCACAGCTAAGAAACCATGGTGTGTTTAGAGTAGTCATCTCAGCTTACTGAGCTCACTCTCTAAAAAACAGCCGAAGGAAAAAGGCCGCGGGGGAAGAGGTCTGGGCTCAAGTAGTTGCCTACTAAACCCGGGATCCTGTGCTCAAATTCCAGTATTGCTTTCAAAAAGAAAAACTTAGACAAAACAGACAGATGTCTCTCACACATGCACAAATACAAACGAGCCAATGGACAGATGTGGCTGGAGGAAACGCGAGCATCTGTGACGATGCAGGAAGCTGGAGCTGGCTTCCTGAGGGTCTTCCAGCCCCTGGAGGGGGTCAGTGGGGAACGGCCTTGGGAGAGTGCTGAGAACACAGCCTCCCACCCCAGCCAGCAGGGTGCGGAGGGGCCTGGGCCTTGCGCAGCCTGCCGCCTCAGCGCCTGTTACCATGGTCACATCCATCTGACAAAACAGGTGCTTCTGTGAAAATGAGCTATTTCAAACTGCCAAATGGTTTAGAACCTTACCACAGCTTAAAGAGGAAATGTCAGTAAAATAACCAATCAGATGTTAACAGATGATGAGTTTTGGGGGTGGGATGTACGCACATTTGACTTTTGCATTTCCCAACACCAGCACAGAATGAGTAATAAAGGCCAGATTTGAAACAGCCAGAGAAAAGTTTGTGCATTTTCTTTTGGTCAAGTCTCATGTTTGAAAGCCTACTTTGTCCCATTTGTCTGGGTTGACCCTCATACATAATGGCTTTTGTTCAGAGAACTTGACTATATGAATTGTCTTTTCTTGAGACTATCCCAAAGGTTCTTCACCTTCCCTGATCAAGATGGTGCATACTAAGCCTGTCTAAGAAGGCCAGTCCTTGGAGACCACAAGAACCCAGACTGATGTCTTCAAGTAACTCTAATGCCATTTAATTGAAAAACTAAAAAGAAACCAGGCCATTCTGATTTTATTCGTGGAAGTGAATCTCTGCTGACCTTGTTAAGCCCTATTATGAAATAGGTCTGAGATACTCCTTCTGAAAAACTAGTTGTTTAAAAAACAAGTTTGGCAATCTGACACACTGGAAAAGTGAAAATGCTGAAGATCTGTGCCCAAGTCCCAGGTCTCCAGCCAACAGTGCATACAAGAAAAAGAAAATGTGTGTGTGGTGTATTTCTCCATAGGCTTCTGAACATCTTCTGGGGAAAGGAAAAAACCCACAAAACTATAAGCAGAATTCATTTTGGACACCTGCTTCCAGAACCCTGAACTTCACAGGGCAGTAAGAGGCTGACACTTGACTTTTCCATTTATAGCATAGCTTTTTAAAAATTATATATCCAGACCTTTATTATGCAGAAGCAGAGAACAATTCTTCAGCTATGAGAAAAAGAAATTTCACAATTAATTTGTAGACTAACTTTATCCAAATAGATAAAGTAATTTTTACTATTTTCGTCTTAAAAATGACTATTGGAAAGAATGAATCTAGGAAAAACTTGGCCTTTTTTTTTTTTTTTTTTTTTGGTCTTGATCAAATACCAAATGAACAGATCCCTGGCCTTATTTTTCTTTGTGTCTATTCCGTTCAGTTCACTGTGATCTGCAGACGCTAAATGAACCACATGACTGCAGGGTCTATCAACACATATCTAAATCCAATAAACAAGAGTAAGAATCTCTATGTATACAGGACTGTGTCTAGCAGGAGCCCCTCACCGGCATTCTTTACAGACCGGCATCTGATACAGACTTGACCTCACAGAAGGGGCAGAGGGGTGCACAACAGGCATTCTTTTCTTATCTTTTACTGAGTTTAAACTCACCAGGACTCACAAGGGAGCAACTGCTCCCTTGATCATTGTTAAGGAAACAGTTATCCTACCGTTTTAAGACTTTTTCAGACTTCAAATTCAGAGCACCAGACTCCGCTCTTACCCCCAAACAAGTCTACAGATATCTTACAAGCTTAATTTCAGATTCTTTCAATTAAAAAAAGCCATTCAAGCACATGGAGCAGCCAATATGACTTTCTTCTCTCTAAAGGACTAGTGAAAAATTCCAGATCTGTGGGATTGCAAAGGTCCAAGCACAAAAAATCCCAATAAAAATATAAACTGTACAGATTTTAAACATGTATGAGTTTGTGCCCATGTGGCTTTCCCAGGTGTCAAGAACTTCAGCTGCTAACTAGAATCAGCAAAAAATTATACATTTCATTACAGTGACCCCCAGGGCCCCAGGTAACATTGCTTGAAATGTCCCCAGAAAAGACAAACCATCCTAACTCCAAGTTTCAATCAAGAAAGCACTCTTCAGATGATCAGCTAGGGTCTATCAAGGCCACAAAAGCAAGCCCTTTGCTTGAAATTATGCTGGGACTCTAGAAAGTTCTCAGCATGTTCACGAATACATCTTCCTCTTCTACACCTCTATGGGCTCTTATCCAACTGGACTGTCCACATACAAGGTGCTGCACATGCTCCCTTGACACGTGGTGCCTTAAGTTCCAAAGACAGATGCTCTGAGCCAGGAAGGCTGGCTTCTCAGAGGATTAGGATGTGCTTTAATCTAAAAGGGCAGGCAGAACACAAATCAGACTTCAGTCAGCCTTCACCGGGGCTCATTATCATGGAAAGATGAGACTAAAGAACAAAAGTTATTTTCCAGAAGAAACTAGAGACAAGACAAAAACCCCACTATCAGCCTACCCCCAGCACATTACATAATCCAATCCTTTGCGTCACCTGCCTCTGAATGCTGACTGTCACGCACTGGGCTCTTCTACAGTTCTAGGTGGCCCAGAGGGGGGCTGAGAACTGGGAATCTGAGTGGCCTGGCCACTTCTGAGCTAGCCTTTCCCACACCTGCCCTCCGTCCCATAGATAAGATGCAGCCCGCAAAACCAGTCACTGCAAAACGCCATCTGAGAAACATAACATTTAATAGATGAAATAAATACTCCAGTACATGCAAGGTAAAAACTTGACATGGGGGGGGAATCACTCTATAGTGTAAATTATAAAATAACACACGCTCACAGTAGCTCTCCCCCGTCTCCAAACCACATGGCAAAGGCATCCTTCCCACACCAAGTATACTCCTATCAACAACAAAAAATAACGACATACAAAAAAGGTAGCTACATCCATGTCTAGGGAGTGAAAACTGAGGTAACCTTTCTTTTGATTAAAAGGAAGAAGAAATGAACCACCTTCCCGCCCAATGGTCCGCAGTTGGGGTGCCGGGTGAGGGGCGCCGCTGCCACCACGATCGCCATCTCGAGTTTCCCGGGCTGGGCCGGGCGCGCAGGGGTGCGGGGCGGGCGCACGGCTCCGCCCTCGGAGACCCCTCCACAGCCTCGGAGGGGAAGGGAGGGGCGCGCTCAGGATCTCTTTGGTATACACGGAGGGGGGCGCAGGGTCGCCATCCATCTTCTCTCGGCCCGGGGCGGGAGTCGGGGGGCGCTAATTCACAGAATTGGAATTCACTGGCGGTAAAGTCCGGGGCGAAGACCTCTCCCGTAAAGCCTGAGATAGCAGGGTGCAGCCTTCAGACACGGCGCAGGCCGAGCTCCGCAGCCTCTCCCTGTGGTCTGACATCTTGGCGCCCCCGTCGGGGTGCTGGGCCAGATCCCTGAGGCACTGGGTCAGGAGCACGCAGGCCGACACGACGCTCATGGCGCCCCCCAGAATGGCGGTCTGCACCGCCTTGCCCTCGGCGCTCACGGCCGCCGCGCGCCCCAGGAACTGCGGCTCGGTGGCGAAGCCCACCAGCGCGCCCACGGCCTGCACCAGCGGCCCGCAGAAGAGCGCGCAGCGGCTGCGCGCCAGCTCGCTGGGCGCCGCCTTCACCTCGCGCACGCAGGCCAGCAGCGCCGAGGCGCTGGCGCTCATGCCCTTGACGCCCAGCTTGAACTGCTCGCGCGCGAAGCGGTCCCGGGAGCCGTCGCTGGCCAGCGCGCACGCGTCCGTCAGCAGCCGCAGGTTGCGCGACAGCCCCTGCGACACCTCGAGCAGCAGCTGCGGCGTGAGGTCGGCCAGCGGCGTGGCGCGCAGCACGGCGCAGCCCTGCTCCACCTCGTGGCGGCAGCGCGTCACGCGGTAGCGGTCCACCAGGCCCGGCTGCGCGGGCTGCGCGCCCGGCGTGGCCACGGCCGCCAGGTAGGCCGCGTGGGCCGAGCACTCGGTCAGGGCCACCACCAGCTCGCCCAGCTCGGCCAGGCTGTCGCCCGCCTCGGTGAAGCGGCCCATGTTGAGCTGGCTCTGCACGTCGTGCGTCAGGATGGAGAGGCCCTTGGTGCGCGCGATGATGGAGTCTCGGCACTGCTCGAAGGACTCGGCGCCCGCGGGGCCCTCGGCGAGCACCGGCCGGGCTTCGCTGGACAGCAGCAGCAGGTCGGCCACCAGCTGCATCTTGGCCTTGCAGAGGTCGCACACGGTCACCAGCCTCTTCCGCGGCTGCGCGCCGGCCCCGCCGACGGCGCCCGGCGCGGGAGAAGCCGCCTGGCCGCTGGGCTTCGCGGCGCCGCCGCTAGCCATCGCGCCGCCCGGGGGGCACTGGCATGCCGCTGGGGACCCCGCCGCCGCCGCGACCCGGCTGGCTGGGGCCGCGGCGCCGTCCGCGCACCATCATGCCATGCACCGCCGCGGGCGGGGGGCGCGGGGCGGCGCGGGGGGCGCCCGCGGGCGCGGGGCGGCGCTGCGGAGGCCCGCCTCCGGGAAGCATGAACCGGGGGCCCCCGGGAACTCACGGCCGGCGCTCCTCGCCGCCGCGCGGCCCGGGCGCTCCCGTCTGCGCGGCCGCCGCTGTCCTGGGCATGGTCCGGCCCGGAGGCCGGCGCGGGGAGGGCGGGACGCGGAGGCTGGGAGTTGCCTTCCTTCCTTCCTTCCTCCCTCGCTGGCTGGCGGGCTGGCTCCGGGGCCGAGTCCTTGCGCCGGGCGGGGCGCTCCGAGGGTCGGCGCTGCACGTGGGCTTCAGGGGCCGCGGCCCCGCCGGGCGGCGCTCCGCGGCGACGCCGGCCGCTCCGGGTGCATCTCCCGCTTCCGCGCCGCGGCGCCGGCGGCCGGGCCGAGGGTGTGGCCGGCGCTGCTCCGCCGCCGCCGCCGCCGCCGCGCCGAGTCAGGGGCGGGCGGGGGCCCGCGCCGCCTGCGCACCGCCGCCCAGCCCGCGCTCCCGCCCGCCACGCCCGGGCGCGCCGGCGCCGCGGCCGCCCTTCCCGCCTCGCCGGCTCAGTGCGCGCGGCCCGGCGCCGGCGCGCCACGCCCTCCCCGGCCGCGCGCCCCGCGGCCCGCCGCCGCCTGGCGGCGCGAGTCCATGCCCCGAGCCCCGGGCCCGCCGCGCCTGCGCTCTCCCGCGCCCCCGGGCCCCGCGCATCGGACGCCCCGCGCCGGCTCAGGCCCGGGCCCCGGCCCCGGCCCCGGCGCCTGCCATCTTCGTCCGCCACCCGCTTCCGAGCGCGCGGGGAGGAGCGGAAGCGGAGGGCGGAGGGAGAAGCGCCGCGCCCGCCCGGTCCGCGCTCGCCCCCGGGTCGCCGCCGCGGCCGCCGCCCGCCCGAGCCTGGAGCAGCCTTTTGTGTGGCGTCACCGCCTTCCGTTTAAATCCCGCTTCCTCCTCTCGCCTTCCTCCGCCCCCTCCGCCGCTCCGGACGCCTGCGCGCCGCGCCGCTCCTCCCCCGGGAAGCCGGTGGCCGCGGGAGGCCGGCGCGGCCCGCGTCCGGGCGGAGGGCTGGGGGGAGGCGGCCGCGGGCCGGGGCGGGGGGGGGGGGGAGGCGGGCCGGGGCGGAGGAGGAGGCGGCCGCGGGCCGGGGCGGGGGGGGGGGGGGAGAGGCGGCCGCGGGCCGGGGCGGGGGGGGGGGGAGGCGGCCGCGGGCCGGGGCGGAGGGGGAGGCGGCCGCGGGCCGGGGCGGGGGGGGGGGGGGAGAGGCGGCCGCGGGCCGGGGCGGGGGGGGGGGGGAGAGGCGGCCGCGGGCCGGGGCGGGGGGGGGGGGGAGGCGGCCGCGGGCCGGGGCGGGGGGGGGGGGAGAGGCGGCCGCGGGCCGGGGCGGGGGGGGGGGGAGGCGGCCGCGGGCCGGGGCGGAGGGGGAGGCGGCCGCGGGCCGGGGCGGAGGGGGAGGCGGCCGCGGGCCGGAGCGGAGGGGGAGGCGGCCGCGGGCCGGAGCGGAGGGGGAGGCGGCCGCGGGCCGGAGCGGAGGGGGAGGCGGCCGCGGGCCGGGGCGGGGGGGGGGGGGAGAGGCGGCCGCGGGCCGGGGCGGGGGGGGGGGGGGGGAGGCGGCCGCGGGCCGGGCGTGCGGCGCACCCCGCGCGGCCTCCCGCCGGCCTTACGTAAGTTCCTAGCGGGACCGGCTCGCGCTTCCTCCGCGCCCCGGGAGAGCCCCACGGTGACCGGCCCGCACGGGAGGGAGGCGGCCGCTCGGGGCTGGGCCCCTCGGCGGGGACGGGGACGGGGCGCACGTGGGCCCCGCCTTCCGCCCTGAGTCGTGTGGCCTTGAGCAAGTTCTGTCCCCGGGCCGGACCCGCGCTCGGATGGAGCGGCCGCGGTTACTCGGTCAGGCAGCCCTGCTGGGAAACGGAGGCCCAGGTGCCTGCGAAGGGCTGGGTCGGCCCGGCGGCCGCGGGCGGCCGGGAGGGTGGAGCCCGGGGCCCGCGGGGAGCGGCTCCGCCCTTCCCCAGCCGGATAAGAAAAGTTTCCCGATTACAGGTGTCCAGAAGCCGCTACGTGGACGTCCCCCACTTACTGCTCCAACTCGGGAGCGGAACGGAGGCCATGTTCCCGGGCAGCAGCGCGCCCGGCGGGAAGGATGCTCAGCAGAGACTGACCAGTGGTCTTTCTGTAGTGTTAATCTTCCTTCCTTTTCAACAAGAGAAGGACAGTCAAATTCCCTGGTAACCTAGGAATAGCTCCTTAGTCCTTATCTCTAAAAACAGAAAAGCCAGGCCTCTTCCTGGGCTTGAAACGACCCTGGGGTCGGGGGTTTGGGTTTTGGGCTTTTTTTCTCCCTGCAAGGCCACTTGGTGCCCAGAACCCGGTTTCCCTTTTCTTCTGCTGCAGGCTGTTCTGCTAAGTGGAGGCCTGCTCCGACAGGAAGCTATGCTGTGCATAACTACCCCCACGCTGTTGATTTGGAGGGTGGTTTTCCAGAGGAGCGGCGAAGAGGATGAGAGGGGAGGGGAAGGCAGGAGAGATGAGAAAATGGAAGATTTAGAGTGCCTGTCCACCATGGGCAAGGCCCTAGATTTGATCCCCGGCAGAGAGAGAAGCAGGTGCCTTTATCTCTAGGAAATCAGGTAGAGCTCTCATGACTAGGTCTGTGCCCTTGTAAATAACCTTGGGGAAACTGCTCACTCTTGCCCTTGTACCACGGGAAGACTTGCCAGTATGACGCATCTATGGGAAATACTCTGTGCACTCTGGGTTTTGATGCCCACCTTTCTGCCTGTACCCGGACTTCATGAACCAGCAGCCAAGCTGCGACTGGCACACTATACCACCTTGTGGCAATGGGCCATGTCTCCTAACGTGCCCTTCCTTGGAGCACACCCCCCCCCCTCCCATGTCTCTGCCCACAGGGGGCCAACTCAGTTGCCTTTTTTTTTTTTTTTTTTTTTGCCAATCCTAGGGTTTGAACTCAGGGCCTGGGCACTACCCAGGCTTCTTTTGCTCAAGGTTAGCACTCTACCACTTGAGCCACAGTGCCACTGTTTATGTGGTAGTGAGGAATGGAACCCAGGGCTTCGTGCATGCTGGGCAAGCACTCTACCACTGAGCCACCTTCCCAGCCCCCTTAATACCGGTATTAAAGGACAGCAGTTCATACCTGGAGAACGCAGTCTTAGCCCTCCTTTCCCCTATTTCAGCCAGAACTCCTCACTCACTGGCAGTGCCACTCCTTGCTGGCATGTCTGGTGTATTTTGTTCCCAGGAAGACGTGAGGCCACTCATCATCCCCAGCACTCCCCCTCCCCCCTCCCATGCCCAGCCCCCCCCCCCACTTCTCTTCACCAGAACATGGATGTGATGGAAGCTGTATACAGGACCAAGACAAGATCTGAAATTTTTCCAGCCATTTAACAGAGCAGTCTACACAGAGGTGAAAGGTGCTTGCTCATATTATAAAATTCTGTACCCCCAGTCGACAGCCAGTGGCTCATAACAAATCCTAGCTGAAAGCTACAGGACTGCATTTCATAGCCAGCCCAGGCAGAAAAGTCCGTAAGACTCCATCTCCAATTAATCTAAAATGCCAAGTGGAGGTATGGCTCAAGTGGTAGAGCATCAGCTGTGAAGCAGCAAGGTGGTGCTCAAGGCCCCAAGTTCAAGACCCAGTACAAATACACACTCAGTACCCTGTCCTGGACAGTGATTTCGGATGTGCATTCACTGTACCCTGTACTGGACAGTGATCTTTGGATGTACACACACAGTCTACCCTGTCCTGGGCAGTGATCTTCGGATGTGCATTCACTGTACCCTGTACTGAACAGTGATCTTTGGATGTACACACACACTACCCTGTCCTGGACAGTGATCTTTGGATGTGCATTCACTGTACCCTGTACTGAACAGTGATCTTTGGATGTACACACACACTACCCTGTCCTGGACAGTGATCTTTGGATGTGCATTCACTGTACCCTGTACTGAACAGTGATCTTTGGATGTACACACACACTCTACCCTGTCCTGGACAGTGATCTTCCGATGTGCATTCACTGTACCCTGTCCTGGACAGTGATCTTCGGATGTGCATTCACTGTACCCTGTACTGAACAGTGATCCTGGGATGTATTTTCCACTTTTGGAGTTGTGGAGAAAGCATGACTAAGACTGAGGCCCCTCAGCCCCACTCACCTTCCCTTTAATTTCAATCATTAAAGGGTAAGTGCTCACCGTACCTTTCAGGTCCTAGCCTTCAGCTCTGGTTCACTCTAATTACATCAGAAGTTCAGTTTTTCTCCTCCTTAGTTACTGTTCTTTTTAGTAGTGGGGTCAATATTAACTCTAGGGCAAGGAGAAACTGGCACTTCATGTAGGCCAAAACCTCTCTCTCACACCCCCTTTCCTCTGCCACCCTTTATTGTACTGCCTCAGACCTGCTTTAGATCACTCCCAGCTCCAGACTGCATTCCATCCATGCTCCAGATGTGTGTGGCTGTGCTGCACACCTCCCTGAATAACCAGGCGGTGCCACCATAGAAAGCCAAGAGCCCCTGGTTGCCCAGGGTGCCTGGACACAGACTCCTCCCTGTGGTCATACTAGCTCCGTGACCTCAGATACATTGTGTAATTCCAAAGCCAGGATTTCCTCATTTAGAATAAAAATACCCTCATCCCATCCTCCCTTCGGGACTTGGCCTCTGCTTGGGTGAATTAGGGTTACTAGAGCTTGATTGTCGCCACGGCTGGCCCAGCCTCCAGGAGCAAGGGCCTTGTTACACTCACCTCTGCACCCGGGCGTCGGGCACATCATTCCCAGCACCTCACTAATCAATCCATTCCTCCTCCAGGGGTTCAAGGAGTCAAGTTCCAAGCACCAAAACATAATTGAACTCTATGGGTTCACATCAATAGATCATAAGCCAAAGGGATTTCCTTCCTGCTTAGACGGAAGCCAGTAATAGCCCTGGAACGGCTCACCCATTCCAACAACTGCGTGAGATCCAGGGGAGGGTTTCCCTGTGACTCCATACTTACAGGCCAGGAGCCCCGCACTTTGGTGCGTGAACTTGGCAGCTCCCGTGGGGACCCTCCCAACAAAGCGCACGGTGGACCACCACTGGCTGGTTTCAGCGTGACTGCACCCGGACGCTGGGCGCCAGGCCTCGGGGTGCCCCTGGGCGGAAAGTTCTGATGATTCTGCACAATGTCATAGAAAGTACCGGTTTGTCTGTGCACACGCGTAAGTGTTAGAGCACCCCTACCGGGGGAGGGATTCCCGCCGCCCCGGTGTCTTCACCCCTCCACTTATGCTTTTCCCCTGGCCACAGCTCCAGCTTTACTCGGGCCGATGGTGGACGCGGGTGGACGTGGTCGAGCCTCTCCTGGAGAGC